TCTTTAAAAGCGAGGTCTTTGACTTAGATTAGAACAGATTTATAAAGGAGTTGTTGGAACAGAACTTCATTGTGGGTTGAGGACACCTGCACACAGAAGGCTCGCCCTACTATCTGAAAGGACAGCATTTCTAGGAAACCTTTCTTAAAATGAAATGGTGTGAAGCAAAGAGGCAATTACTGCTCATGCATATGGGAGTTGAGTCTTCCCACACCCTAAAGAATAACCTACCTAATCATACCAAAAACACAGAAGGCCTAAAATAACATGAGCATAGAATGCTCACAGATGCAGTTCACAGCTGTGGGGCTTGATGCTGAGTGTGGCTCCCAGGGAAGAACCCGGAGACTCCACCCCCGGTGTTTTGTACATCACTGTCTCTTTAACAGCTGTTAAACAAATGCTGAACACTTTTTTATCTTGTTTTGTAAAAGTGAAAATCCTTTTTGAGTTTCTTTCAGGGTCACTGAAATCAGGTACTAATACTGGTCTTTCACAAAGGTAAGGTGGGAAAAAGCAAAGGACACCTGTATAAATAAATGCAGCTATGCAAAGAGGCACATCTTGTTTAGGGAAAGAGTCGTCACACCCCCCCCGAAATAGATTCCTTTTTTATTTTATACATGGAAACCATCCAAATATCCAACCACAATCAAATGAATTGAGAAATTAGGGTACATTCACACAATGCAGGAGCAATGATTTTATAAATCACTACCTAACTTGGGAGGGACTGGAGAGCATTATGCTGAGTGAACGAACTCAGTCCCATAAGGACAAATACTGTATAAGACCATTATTATAGAATGAGTATGAGGATCCAAGTGGGGGTGGGGGAGAGGACACAGTTCTTTTAAGCAGCAAGGTTTAATGGGTTCTCCAAGAAATCAAATACACTATCCCAAAGACATTTGTACTCCATTTTGTTCCCAAGTCTGTAAATTTTTTTTGTAATAAAATTTTATTTTAATCGTGATTTTAACGAACATTTATAGAGAAGTTAGATTTTCATTCATTCATTGTTGTACAATTTATCCCTCTACCTTCCCTTCCCCCCCAGTTCACTTCTTTTTTTAATATTCATTCATTGTTGCACAATTACCTACCTCCCCCCACCCCAAGTTCTCTTTGCAATAATATCTCTCTTATTCTGGGATGTTGCTGTACTTATAATGCCTAATCAAAGATTCATTTTAGGCAATTCTTTCATCTGTTCCAATGCAATGGTCATTATCTGTCCACTCTTTTAAAATTTTTTTTAATAATTTTAATGAACATTTACAGATTTTGGATTTCCATTCATTCACTGCTGCACTTCTCTCCCTCCCCAGCCCTCCGCCTCCCCCCCCCCAGTTCGCTCCTCTCTTTGAAAAGTAAAAGAAAAACTCCCTCCCTGGTACACAATCCCCCCGCACCCCTCCCACCACCCCAAGTACATTCCACTATGCAACCTTAATTGTGGACTCTTGTGATAACCATAATACCCTATCATATATTACTTTTCAATTTTTCTCTCCCTCATCTGTTCCAGTGCAGTATACACAATTTATCCAGTTTTTCTCAGTCTTACCCCAACCCTGATATCAGTCCCATTTTACAGCAGTGGCACCATGCAGCGACTGAGATATTTGACTCAGCATAATGTCCTCCAGGGTCACCCATTTTGAATAATATTGCATGAGTTCCCTATTTTTCAATGCAGCATAGTATTCCATTGTGTAAATATACCACAGCTTCTCTATCCATTCTTTTGTTGATGGGCACCTGGGTTGTTTCCAGCTCCTTGTTATTGTGAACAAAACCGCGATACACATGGGTGTGCATATATCTGCTTGAATGTCAGTTATGGTCTCTTTGGGATATATTCAGGGTAGTGGAACTGCTAGGTCAAATGGTATTTCTATTTGCAACTTTTTGAGAAAGAGCCATACCACCTTCCACAGTGGTTGTACCATTTTACACTCCCACCAATAGTGAATAAGGGTTCCAGTTTCTCCACAACCTTGCCAGCATTTGTTGCTTGCAGTTCTGTTAAATTTTGCTATTCTGACTGGGGTGAGATGATATCTCATAGTTGTTTTATCTATCCACTCTTATCCCATTCTCCTCCCAACTGCCCATGTCAGACGTGCTTTGTAACAGTGAGGCTGTAAGTCTTAGTTGAAGAGACCTCCCGTTTCTCAGCATTGTAATTCTCTAGCTCTTTCCTGGAATTCCAGGAACTCGTCATCACTGTAAGTCTGTGTTTGTTCTTGAGAACTGCTGCCTCGTTCCCTCCACAGCTCTGGCCTGGACTGTGGTCCTGTAGGTCCCACATATGGGCTCTGATTGTCCATGTGCTGCTCTATCAACTATTAGCCCTTTGCCAGAGCCATGCTTTTCATTTACCTGAAATCACTAGAAACTGTCTCTTCCAGGTGACCCACACATGTAACTCAATTTACCCAGCATGACAGCAAAACTGATGAGGAAACAGAAGATTCCTTGCTAGGGGCAAAATTTAAGGTCTCTTCAGACTGCTGGAATAAAGTAAATACACGAAATGGCTACAGGTAAGAGAGGCTGGTGAAAATTACAGGTATACCGTAGAGATATGCAGGTTCAGTTCCAGACCTCATCAGTAAAGCAAGTATCTCAACACAGGAAGTCACATGGATTTATTCATTTGTTTCCCTGTCCATAGAAAAGTTATGTTGGCAACATAGAGTAATCTATTAAGTGTGAAACAGTATTATAAAAGTTGGAAATATTATGAGAATTATTAAAATGGGGCAGAGAGACATGAATTGAGCACATCAAATTAGGATTGTTGCCTGGGGGTGTACATTTAGCCTTGATCTCCTTCATGGGGTCAAGCCTGATAACCTCACATCACACCACGAACGATGCCTACATCTTCATGTAACTGCCATGCGACAGCACTACATAAATGCTAACCACTGCAAATCACAGCCCAGCCAGGCTGATACACACCTCAGGGGAACACAGTTCACTTCATGACTAACTAAACTTTATTCTTTAACTTTTGTTTTACTGAAGAGTTAGAAAGTAGAGCAGAACTTTCTTTTTATTTACTGTATTATTTCCCTGCAAATAACATGTCCACACGTATAGCACTTTACACAGTGTACTGACAAAAGTAACATGCTGTGGTAGGGGAGAGTGTGGTTGGCAAAAACCCCTATAAACTCACAGATTATCCAAGTAAATGCACAGTACACAGATCAGATTCATGGGCATGGTCAAGGACAAAGAAAGGTGGCCAGCCAGCTCCTCCCTGTAGAACACACATCAATTCTGTAAGCAACCGTGCTCACCACTTTGATGGCCCATGGTTGTTTGTGGCCCTGCTTATGAAGGCTCCCTGGCTGCCCAGCACGTGCCTGCCCTATCAGTCTGCTCCTCACATTGCAGGTGGATTGCTGTCAGGGACTGGGTTTTCCCAGCTGGCTGGGCGTCACCATCACACTGT